TCCAACAGGTGGGCCTCGGCCCTGCCCAGCCCCGCGCGAGCTGACGTGTTTCCCCTTCTGCTTCTGCCACAGACTGGCTCTCCAGCATGGCGACGGGCACGTCGTGGATTACCTGTGCCAGCCGGTGATCGATTACATCCTCAAGAGCCAGCTGTACCTGAACGCTTCGGGCTAGGCCTCCCGCAGCCGTGTGGCGGAGCAGCCCGGCCACGCAACTTCCCTGCGGTCGTTCATCACACGTCTCTCTTTCCCACGCGCTCTTTTCTTTTCTCACTGCCTCTTGCGTGCATCTGCCTGATCCACTCTGATGTCCCCCCAGCCCTGAGTGCAGGACGAGCTGCATCAGGCAGCCAGCAAAGTGCCCACACCCCCCAGCCGCCCCTTTTCCTGTAGTCAGGAGGGAAAACAGCAAAGAGTACCGGGTACCATGTGCCTAAAACGGGCAGCTTTGATGTCTACCTTCCCAGCATGTCTTTGGGGAAGTAATGCCGTCTACCTTCCCAGCATGCCTTGGGAACCAAGAAGGGCCTTTTGCCCCTTCTTTTGCCCTGATTCGTCGGCTGAATAAATCCCAGTGGGTCTTTTATTCTGAGTGCTTTTTTCCTGGCCTTTTTGTTCTTGTGAACCATCAAAGTCACCATGAGGTTGGCGGAAGGAGAATCTAACCTCCTTAGTAAAAAGTCCAGACTTTTTAGGTCACTTGTGGCAAAAATAGCTTCGAATTTATAAAAGAAAACAAGAGAAAGAAGTGGCCTTTTCTTTCTTTTATGTTCTTTATGTAGAGAGAGAGAGAGAGAGAGAAATTGCTGGAGAACGGGCACCCAAAGAGCAGTACACAGACTTGTTTCATAGTTGTTCATCTTTCCTGTTGTAAATAGTTGCTTGATTCAAAGAGAGGGAGTTTTAAATAGGTTCTCTGTTGTCTTTCCAACAGATCAGGGAGCAGTCTTGGGTGTGTGTGTGTGTGTGTGTGTGTGTGTGTGTGTGTAGCGGGGACATCCACAGAGCGCTCCTTTCTGGAGTGCCTCCAGTAAATCACCTTCTTGATTCATTGCATCTCTTTGATCTGGCCCTGGCCTGATTGCCCCCTGCTCCATTTTTAAACCTTTCCACTTCCTCCAGAAACACATTTGTGTCGGGTCTGAATTCATGGTACCCTTGCTCGCGTTTTTTCCTCACACCCTCAGCTCAGGTCACACTTGTTTTTCTTGGTGAACCACATGCAGAGGGCACTGCTGTTTCCTCGAAAGACTCCGTGGAAGGCAGTTGCCTCTAATCCATCTGTGGAAGAGTATTTGTACTTTTCCTCCCCATACAGGAAATGATTAGGTGATTCCTGGAATTCCAGATGGGATAGTTTAACCAGCTGAGAATGTATAAGAGCCAGTGAGAAGAAGCAGGGAAACTCTCTGGTGGCCATTGGCAACTTCAGAGGAGCAAAGCCAACTTAAAGTTGTGTTTGACTTTGGGAGGTACAGCAGATCCAGCGCTTGCAATTGGGTGCTTGCCCTGGTACTCCAGAAGCAGGAAACACACACAGATGTGTGACTATACAAACTCACAAGCGGTAGTCAAGGAAGCCAGACTTGGCTTAAAGGACCTTGATTAAAATCATACAGTGCCCGGAATGGCATCATTTGACCTGTGAAGAAGCTGAAGCCCAGAGAAGAATTAATGCTTAGGCAGCCAGTGTTTGTTTTGGCACAGAAGTATAGATTGGAAGTGTTTAATTAGGGAAAAAACACTTTGCTAAAATGCTGACTGAGAAGGTCTTTTCTTCCTTCTATTTTTCCCTAATTGGTTATGGCTCTGTATCAGCATTATTCTGCTAATATTTTAATTTAGGGGGAACTAGATGGGAAATAGATTTGATGTGTTTAAGGGGGAGGGGGGATATGTTGCTAAACCATGTTCTTCTTTATATTTTCAAATTGTTTTCATAGTGTTATAACTCTGTAACACTTTCCCCCTTAATCAGGGTCTTGTGAATTCTAATAAAAACTATACCCAGAAACACACTTTAATGCTGTTTAAAAGAGTGATGGGGGATGTAAGGGCTCGTGAAGGAGTACTCACAGCACAGATCCAGTGTGTCGGTGCCCACGTCGAAACCATGCCTCTTTTAAAAAGTTGGCAGAGAAGTGGTGAAGGCCTGTGGAGATGGCACTATTCTTCCACCCTTCAAAAAGTCAGGCTTGCCACGGTAAGAAAAAAGGCAGGAACAACACAGGAAGGGTGCTGGAGGGTTACTAACAGGTCACCTGCTCAGGTAGGTCACCCATCAGTGTGACTGAGCAGGGCATGGCGATGCCACATGAGATGCCCCAACCATCTTCTCACGTTGCGTTGAGAACATCTGGGGTCTGCTGAAGAGCTTACGCCGCAGCCAACCAGTCAAGCACTTAGGAGCCCGAGGAAAGTAAGGAGTAAGTGGAGGCAGGGGTTACTCACCCCACCTGATGGAGGACAGCCCCAACGCGTCCCCTGCCCCTAGACACTCACTGCTGTCACAGGCAGATGTACAAAAGCGCAGTCTCTTGGGGAGAATTTTTCTACTCACGGAAGGCTTAGACCCTAGTCCTACATGACTCTCGATCACATAGTTCTCTCGCTGTCCTACATGACTGCTATTTCCAAAGCACTCTCCGCCGCACCGCTCCGTTGAGGGGAGCAACTCCAGACTCCTGCTGGAATGCACCGTACACCGCGGCACCAAGCCGCAGAGCGCACAGCCAGGAGCGTGTGCGCGTGTCCGTGTGACGGCAGGCAGGGCCTTCCAGAAGCCTCGGAGGTGGTTGTGGTGGAAAGGAGCATGGGAGAAAGACAGCAGAGGAGCACAGGAAGGAAGGCCTCTCCACGTGCTTGGCCGAAAGGGAGATTCCCAGGCCACTTCCCAGTTTCATCCCGTTCAGGACAGCATGGCTTAGGAACATTGCATTGTGGTTCAGATTCTGTATATAATGTCTTACTAGTCTTATCTTTGCCTTCATATGCTCAGTTATGCTTATGGTTTGGGAAGGGGGGACAGGATGTAGCATATATTTGGACGGTCAGATGGAAATGGTGTGAAAGGAGTTAGAGACTTGGAGGAAAGTGTCAAAACCTGTCCTAGTGAATAAAGGAGCAGGTTTTAGCTGCACTGGGAGGGAGGGGCGGGAGGGGAGGTAACTCTTTTCCATTACTGAACTTGCAATTTTAAACTGAAAAATTTGCTTTATTAAAAAAAAAAGTTTAAAAGAAAAAAAAAGAATCGAAGACGACAATTTCGCACTAATGGAATATGCTGGAGTTAGGTCATTGTTGCTAAAGTGGTCATGATGACAAAATGTTTAAACTAATTGGCAAAAATGTTTAAAAGATATAATAAAGAAAAAAATACGCTATTGAAATGTGAGTTGGCATTCCCTGTTGTTTCCATATCAATAAATTTCTGAAGCGCCTCTTTTTGGGTTTGCAGCATTGCTCTGCTTCCCTCAATCTTAGGAAAGGGAATTCTGGAAATTAGATCAGACTAAGCATGGTGCTTATCTGGGTACCTTTCCAGGTGATGGAAACCATCGCCATTTTGAATAGAAGTAGCTCCTCCTGCTGGGAATTGAAGGGATGACAACGTCATGTCCTCTATACCTCGGAGCTGCAAAAGTAACTCTAATCAGTTGGAATGACAGCATAGGGAGAATATTGAGCACCTGGCTAATATTTAGAAAGTCCAAGTTCTCTCCCTAGCAAAGAATTTGACCAAACAGGGCCAGGATAAGTTGCACAGAAGCTTGCTGATAGAACAGACGCTCCCAGTCAGAGCATTTCCATTTAGAAAATCAAAAATAAATTTCTGGGTTGCTAGCTGCTTTCTTTGTGGCTTAAGGGCAATGGGTGAGTAGTTGTAGGAGCACCCCACAAGCACAGCCCTGTCCACTATCCAGGCTTCGACGGACCAGTTCTGTCCAAACACACCTGGGACTGCATCTGTCTTCCCAAGCACTCCTGACCTGTTTTCAGGGCATATTCCCCATTCAGTGGCCCCAACCCTTCGAACACCCATTCATCCATCTATATGCTGGACTGGTCTAATTAATAAGTGCCACGGGCAGTAAACCCACTAATTATATCAGCATATTCACTGGCAAATGTAGCAATGGTGCATTAAATTACCACTGCATCTCTCAAAGTGGGACGCAAACCTGTATTGGTTTTATACAAACATCTGTAAAGGATTCTTTCCACAAAGAATTCTGGGAGTTGTAGTTTGATCTGAATACTGAGAATTCTCTGTTAGATAGCCCTCCTGGCAGAATTGCAGTTCCCAGAATCCCTGGGGTGAAGTCATGGCTGTTAAGCAATGTTCTAGATATGCTTTGAGAATCCAGATGCTCACAGTTCTCAGAGATGTTAAGAAAGCTTTTCTGCAGAATGAAGAGCTGTTTGTGGCAAGAGAAACTAGATGCTGTGGTATCGTTAATTTAGCAGGATAGTTCATTTTGCTGCATTAAGTCAGGCTGGAAGAAAGGAGGGCAGGATTTGGGGGAAGAGTAGCAGCGAGTTCGGACTCCACTAAGCCAGAGCATCTTCTCCTGCGGCCTGGTCTCTCATGCACTGGGTTCTGTGTGGTCAGCTCCTTCTCCGTGGGCCCCGGGCATTTCTCTCTTGCTTCCTGGAGGATAAGGCAACGAGAGCAACAGTTCCTTCCGGTGCTGATGCAACCACAAGGAAACAGTTGGCTCACACCCCCAGTGATGCAGCTGTGATCCCAGCTGGATCAGTGGAACTTTCAAATGAGCTGTTCGGTGAGGCCGGGCAGCCGGTCTCAGGAGGCCGAGAAGTTTGCATCACCCAAACGGGCCGAGCCAAGGGGGCCTGCACACGCCTGCTCTCCCATGACCCAAAGGCTTCATGGTGTCTCGATGGGCTGGATGTTATAACACTTTGGAGGGAGGTTGTCCCGGATGCCCTCCAGGTTCTTGATATCTGCGAGGATCTCATGGATGCTCTGCTCCAGCGTCTGGATCCGACGTTTCTGCTGGCTGGCTGTTCCCTCCAGCTGCAGCAGGAGCTCTTTCAGCTGGCTGTGTCTCGCTCTGGCCCTCCTGAGATCCATTTCAAGCAAGTTGACACCGTGCTCATCCACGGCCTCGGGTTGGTCTGGCAAAGGAAAGGAAAAAGGGCTTGTCAGCGAGGTGTCATGCTTTTCCCACTATCCCTGAACTGAACCTGTTACAATGGTATCCTTGAACTTTCAACACCCACCTTTGTCTCAGTTCAGCTTCTCACTCACTCCAGAGCCAAAAAGATTTAGCTAGACGGAGAAAGAGTAGCCCTGATCCACCCTTGGAGGAGCACAGCAGCTCCGTGTTTCTGCCTTAGAAACTATTCTAAGTGTAATGCTTGAAAAAAGACCAGCAACTCATGCAGAGACACCGTGGCTGGCCCCCTCTGAAGACAGGTCCCTGCGATGTCTCTCTGCTCTGGGAGAGATCGAACGAACTCCCAAGGCAAACATGCTGCAGGTATTTCCATGCCATGTAGAGACTTAACTGGAAAGAGGGAAGCTCACAATGGTAAATCATGCAAAGCTTACCTACTCTGTGGTTGTCTGGGGCTCACAGGACATTTATTTAAAGACAAAGAGCAAGGTGGTAGAGGAGTTAGAATGTTTCATTGGGGATGCCAGGAAATCTGGGTTCCAGACCCCACCTGGCCATGAAGCTCATTGGGTAACTTTGGGCCAGTCACTCACTCACTCCAGCCTAGCCTACCTCACAAGGTTGTTGTAATGAGGATAAAATGTAAGCTGCTTTGGGTTCCCCATGGGGAAAAAGGCAGGATATCAATGCAAGGTAAATACAACGTATCCATCATTTTATAAAGATCAGTTTACAAAGCCGACTGCAGTAAAGAAACTGCTTTTCTTTGAGAAACTGTCATTGTTGCATTCTCTATTTGTGGATGGATCCAGGATCCAAGGAAAAGAACATCAAGCATTCCATCGTTTCCACAGAACACAGGCAATGTTCAGTAACACTTGATAGTCTGTGTGTTATCTTTTGTCAAAAACAGATAATCTTACTTGCAAACGAACTTCCAAAATCTAAAATATATATCAGAGAAGCTTTGAATATGCTGAGCTTCCAAACATTTTCCACTGTTATACATAAGGAGTTTTTAAAGATCACGGGGATTCTGTGATTTTGCCTGTATGGACAATTTTGATATTGTGATTGTCTTATCCACTGTGAATTGTCTAATCAATGAAGAACCGGACTCCTGTTTTATTATCAATAACATGGCTATGAATTGCAAGCAATATCCCACATCTCCCTGCTTGCAATTGCAGGCAGAAAATGCATCCAAGATTTATCCAGGAATTCTCCAGTTCCTTTTGTGGCAATGAGTGATAGAAGTTGTGCTTCCTGAGGAGTCTGTGCATTCCCTTACCCATCATACGCAGGAGGTCTTCTAGGGCCCGGAGCATTTCTTGGACGACACTTCCAGCTCCTCCGGCTGCTGCCCTGGCTCTCTGGGACTGCTGAAGGACCTGGGGGAGCAGGGGCCAAAGATGGATGCCATGAGAGGCGTTTCTTAGCAGGCCAGGGTCCTCCAAAGGACCTTTCCCAGAAAGGCAGACTCACCTCCTGGGCCGTGCTGGCCTCCGCATCGAGCTCAAGGGTCTTCCGGTACAGCGCGTCTTCCTTGCCTTTGGCCTCTTGACGCAGAGACGCGATCCCCCTCTCCAAGGCCAGCACTCCGTCTGCTGACCTGTTGGCTTCCAGGGCCAGCCGCCCCACATCCTGGGGGCGCAAGGCAGCAGAGAGCACAAACGTTTAGGCGGCGAGGGGATGCACAGTGCGGACAAGGAACTGAGGACAGGCACGGTGGGTGTTGCAAGCAAGAGGCTAGAGGGGCCGATTTAATTCCACAAGGCAAGGGACCCAACGTGAGAAGATGCTGAGAGCAGAGGAGGGATTCCTGATGATGCTTTGCGTCAGAAGGAAGCATCCTGTGACAGGTGCCCCTTATTCTCGTCCTCCTGCTTCCATCGATCACGGATTATTGCTTTATTTTGTGTTATGGGCTCAAACCCACCAAGCCTCTCTTCAGCCGTGACCAGATGTGGCACAGTTGTTTGCAACCACGCAGGGCTGAGGGGAGGAGCAGGTTCACCTCGGCCAGCCAGAAGCTCAGAGAAAGAGCTATCACAGCCTAGGAGCTAAGAAACAGAGCCGGGGGTTGGGCTGAAATACCTGGCACAAATCTCATCACGCTCACAAATTCAACAGGTGGCCCCATCAGGCGAGGCTCAGCCTTCCTAATGCAATTTGGGGGTGACTCTGTTGGCCTACCTTATGTGTGGACATTTATTAGTCATTGTACTGCTTTAATTTATTTGCAACATGTGAATATTCTGCAGCTTAACAGATGCCCGAGCGGCAAACAATACAAGGGAACAAACAGATGCTAGAAGGCTTAGCTAATTCAGTGGTTGCTGTGATGTGCCGTCATCTCCAACTTAGGGCAACCCTATGAATTTGGCCCTCCAAAATGTTCTGCCCGTCACAGCCCTGCTCAGCTCTAGCAAACCGAGGCCGTGGCTTCCTTTGCAAAGTCCACCCTGTCTGTTGCACACGTCCACCGGCACTTGCAGCGCATCCTCCCTCCAACCTGATGAGCAGAATTAACGGGGTCTCGCCCCCCTCAATACAGCTCATCCGTCGGCACGGCCCGGGCTGCATTGTTCCCCTGACCAGCTCCCAGCCCAGACTGGACTGGTCAAGATCCATTCTGTTGTGGGGCGAGGCCTGGGGGGGTGTGAAAGCAAATCTCCAGACCCCCAGGTCGCGTGCCCAGGGTGTATGCAACGTCATCCGAACGCTCTGCATCTTGGTTTACGCAGTTTAGAATTACTCCTTGGTGCCCGGCCGAACGCTCAGGCACAGGTTGAAGGGAGCAAAGCCAAAGCACCTCCTCAGCATCCCGCACCTGATTGATGCCCTGAGCCATCTCCTTGGCCTCCCCGGCCAGTCTCCTGGCTGCCTGGGCTTCTGCGGTGGCAGCGTCCAGGGCCGCCTCGGCCCGCCTGGTCTTTTCGTTGGCACCGGCCACCATGTTGCTGATGAGAGGAAGTCTTTGCATGGCCTCCGTGGCCTCTTCTTGTTTGTCGCCCACTTGAAGTGTGAACTCTGAAGGGGGAGAAAGGCAATGAGCAAAGGCTGTTTGTGCACCCATTGAGAGAGCAACACGGGGGAGAGCTCAGCCGTGCGGTGCTGGACTGGAAGGACCACCGGTCTGATCCAGCTCGGCTTCTCTCGCGTTCTTGCGCTTCCACAGGTCTGCCCCTTGGCAAATGGCTCTCCTGTTCCTCACAAGCCTACAGACTGGTCTAGACTCAAGAGCTTTCATGCAACTCACCCCTCAAACTCTTCAGGATGCCATCGACGTCGGCCAAGGTGGCATTGCCTGCACTCAGGGCCTGCTGGGCCGAAGTCTTGGCCAGGTTGGCTCGGGACAAAAGCTGGGCTGAAGCCTGCATAAGAAAACGAAGGACATACGCTGCCTGAAAATGCAGCCATGCTTTCAGATTCGCTCTTAAATTCTGCAACATGGCAGTAAAGTCTTCCAAGGTCCTTGCTGGCCAATTAGAACCCAAAGGGCTCTGTGCCATTTATAGGCCAAGTTCAGATGCCCTTAAGGGAGTTAACACTGGTCTGGACAATTCTGTGTAGCATCACGTGGAATATGCCTCTAACAAAGAATCCGAAGATTGTCATTAAAAAGCGGGTGTGCTTCTAGTCCTCATGTAAACAGGAATCGGTGTTAATGGCACAGAAATACATGAATGGCTGCGAGGTTTCTCTGCCAAATGGGTAAGGATCTTAAGGCTTCTAGAGCCTTTGTGCTAATACTTTCTTCCCATTTATGACCAGGATTATACTTTACCACTTTGTCATTTTGTCCTTTTTGCAAGAGTCCTTTCATCTCTTCCTCCCAATTTGCCAAGCTGCTTTGTAACTGCTTGTACTCTGCCATGTGCATTTCTACCAAGCCTGTCAGAGAGTCTGCTTTCTGCTGGAGCTGTCTGGCCTCTTTCTAAAACATGAAAGGAGAGGGAGGTAAAACAACAACAAGGACAACAACTTCTTTAATTTAGATCCTTCACATCTGTCACAATAACGAATCCTTCTCTACCTCTGCCACCATCCTCTCATCAAAGAGATGCAAATAATCGCTATCTCAAATGGAGGAGCATTTCTGGCTCTCCTCTCTCTCTCTTGCACACGCCCACAGACGAATCTCACCTGGAAGAGGGCAGTGTCAATCTTTGATAGCTGAGCCAGAGAAAGGAGGAGCGACTGGCTGCCCTGGTAGGCCCCGTCAGCACTGGATGCTGCTCTGTTGGCATCAGCCTCCAGTTCGCTTGAGAGCAACTTTGCTTCTTCATATCTGCAGATTGGAAGGCAACCTTTGAGCCTAAAATTGTGACTGACTTCTTTTATGGATATATCACCCCACCGCCCCCCCCCCCCCGTAATAGATGAGTGAGGACACTGCAGAATAAATCCTATTTTGGGCTCCCTTGTGGCTATCTCAGGCCAAGAAATCCAGGCATGCCATGATTTTACAAAGCGTGGAGATTTTGGGTGAGTTTGCCCGGCATGGTAGATCATCCTTTGGAGAAGCTGTGCAGTGCAGGTTGTTTCTGGATCAATGACAGCGCGCAGGAAAGGTGGCTGGGCTCTCCGGGGCATGTGCCCCTGCTCTTTCTTCCATCTTCCTCCAGCCAGTATCCTGCAGGAGCTACAGGACTCTTGTCCCTTCTTCCAAAAAGGCTCATGATCTTCTGTGATTTCACTGTGGTTGCGTATATAGTTATGTATACATATACATATGAATGGGCAAAATTTATATTTTTAAATGGTGGCAAAGCACTGGAAGCACTTGGCCCTGTGGGGGGCTGTCGGTGATGGTTACCTTGGGATCGTGAAAAATGATCTAGAGGCGAGGCGAGGCGCAGGTGAGGCAGAAAGCAGGGCAGGGCAAGCGAGGGGAAGGAGGGGAAGCCACGGCAAGTGGGAAGCGGTTCATGATCACAGTGGCGAGCCTGTGGTGGCTGCCCTAAGGTGCTGCTTGGGCCCTTTGTGGAGCCGCAGTCCCTGGCAGTCGCCCAGGTGAGCTCAGCAAGAGCAGCAAGACGGCTCGCCTCTCTGGTCGAGCGGCTCTCCACTTCCCCGGACATACCAGAAGGTCGGACTCCTGGGCTCTGATGACATGACCAGCCAGCCTGAGGGAGACAACCTCCACCACCAGCCACACTGCGGGAAGGAACCCAAGTCTGCGCCGCGTGACGAGTCACCTTGGCTAGCTCGCCACGATGGGTTGCCGCGTCCTGTGAGCTCAGTCTTTGAGCATTCCCGTTCTCAGGCGCTCCCCATCTGTGCAGCTGCACCCCGGCATCTCCCCTTTCCCTGGAAGCCCCGTCCCTTCCCTGACTGCTCCTCTGAACTGCAGGGGAAATGGTTGCAAAACGTTTTCAGGAGCTCTGAACGTTCAAAACACAGGGTACCGATGCCAAGTGCTCATAATAATGGCATATTATTATGAGAAGTACCATAAGGAATGCATAATTTCCCGTAATGGAAATAATTCAAAAAATAAAGCATGGGTCTGTGGGAGCAGGACAGCTTCAATCCCACTTCACACTGCTGCATCTCCTAACTGGAAGGTGGAGAGCTGCCTCCTACATGTTCGGAGGAAAAGACACACTGTGCTTGGAGACACAGGGGTGGAGGTCTCTCTCCCGCCAGGGCCAGTTCCACGTTCTGGGGGCGGACGTGGCCCTGGTGTCCCTCCCGCCATCCCTCGTGGACCTACTTTCTGCGGAGGCCTTGCACGGAGTTGGCCAGGATGCCTTTTCCGCCCGTCGACGACTGCAGGAAGGCCAGCGCTTGTTTCGAGGCGTCTTCGGCCGCTTTGGCTGCTTGCTCTATCGTGTTTGCCATCTGTGTGTGACTAAAAAGCCAAGAAGAGATGAACTTGGCAAAATCTAGACATTTCTTTCTAAGCGGGGCAGGGAGAGTTGAGATTAAACACACACACACACACGGGAGAGAAGGCAAAATGGAAGTAGGCCCTCCTGGCTGAGGGCATTGGCTTCTTTGCTCTAAGTAAGAGCAAACATTGCTCTTGCTTATTCAGCCATCACTGCTTTTTTTTAATAAGCTCCTCTTGGAGGCACAAAAGCCGCTCCCCAAGCTGGGCATGGGCTTCCCTCTTCAAAAGAAAACCCACCCCAAACTCCTAACTTCTTCATTAATGGGACGGAAAGATGCTGACCTTTCAGCAATTCGGACGTGGGAGAAACCAGCGCTCATGGCGTCATCTCTCTCCCCCACTGTGTCCCATGGTTGTCTCATCAGAACTTGCCACTACACAACTCTCTGTCCACTACAGACTCTGGAAACCAGGGTAATTTGGATAATTTCCCTAATTAAACAGCATGCTTTAATTAACATCTCTGAGTTGCCTGGTTATATATTTATTGCTGCTGGTACTTTCAAGATTGGACCACGTGACTGAAATGGAGTCAGAGGCCCGGGGAAGACCACAGCTGGCTCACCTGTTCGCTAACTTCAAGGCTTCTTGGGCAAGGTTTATAAATGTGCCTGTGCTTCCAGCAGAGCCGGGGGATGGAATGATCTGAAGGAGACAAAAGGAAAACATTCACATGCACTTCTAGGGGAGAGAGCGCCTTTGCAGAATTCCCCCATCTTCTCCACATCCGGTCTTCATCTTCTTGTTTCCAGAGGGATGATTTATAAAACATGGCCTCTTCTTGGGTTTACTGAATCCCGTGTGGCTTAGCACATCATCTGAACCTGGGGACAGGCTGGAAGGCTGTGACGTGCCCAGGGGGCGGTTGGGGGCGTTGGCACTGGTTTCCCCGGCGGATGCTGGGGCCGACCCGCGTGCTTAAGCCGATGTGGGGCATGGAAGAGGATTATAACATTATTGCTGCTATGGTGAGAGTGGATAAAGAATATCCCCTTCTGCTTTTGAGGGTCAATAGACTGATGGGCAACAGATCTAGGACAGGTAAAAATAAGTCTTTCACATTCTGTCTTCATCTTTGCAAATTGCTCCAGGAGTGTTTCCTGGCTGAAGCTCTAAACGAATGGATTGAATTATTATTATTATCATGATTATTAAATGAACAATAAATGAAAATAATAATAATAATATCATTAATATAAGGTTGATGTTAATGCATTGTTTCTGTTATTGAATGGATTATCAATCATTCAATTAACTGAATGGCTAATAGAATTTACTACCACAACATGGGATAAAGGCCACTAGTCTGGATGGCGTCTGAGAAAGGAAATGAACCAGAGGAGAAGAGTCAAGCTTTCTGGAACAAGGCCAAGTGCCTGGTTGTGTGTTTTGTGTATGGAAAGATACAGGCTTGGTTGTCCCTTGATTCCTTCACTCCAGTTACATCTCTGAGGGCACCACCACTCCAGCTTCCTCCAATCAAGCAAAGTGGAGCAATCCATCCTTCAATCCATCCTCCAATCAAGCAAACTTCCTCCATTCAGTCAGGGTAGAGTCAGGCGCTGCATTAGACAATGCTACTGCAGCGATTCCAGACCCTCCCTCTCCTCCGGTGATGGATAGTCCAGGCCTCAGAGGTGGGCAGCACCGTGTGACGTCTGAATGGAAGGCCCACCGAGAGATGGCATTCCACACAACTCACAGGAGGCACTTGGCGAGATCATCGCCACCTTTGTCAGGAGAGCAGCTTAGCACATGGGAGATGGTACTCGCCTGGCCTTCCAGTCTGGCCTGGCTTTGCTTCAGATCCAGGCGGACTCTCTCGAGGAACCTCCTGGTGTCTTGCACCTGGCTCTGGTACTGGCTGCCCAGGGACTGCAGCCTGCGGGCCGTCTCGCGGATCTCATCCAAGTGACCCTGGTAGGCCAGCTCTTGTGCCTTCAGCTTGGACCCCCGGCTCCCCAGAGACCTATCGGAAGCTTGAACGTGAAAAAGAAAGGGCGGGGCAGGGTTTTACTGGGATAGAGAGGAACATGTTGATTCAAAAGACAAGTGCGTGCACAGCTGGGGAGGGACAGGCGCGGCAGGCGTGGCCCTTGGAGTCTGCAGAACATCTTCACGTAGACATTTCTCCTGAGCGGTCGTCATTCTTCCGTACGAGCAGTCCAAAGAGGATGGAGAAAGGTGCCTGCTATTAATGCCCCATGAACTGAAGGACCCGAGAGAGAGAGCATCTGCTTTGCGGGAAAGGAATGAATTGCTAGGGCTGTGCCTCTCCTCTCACCTCATCCCAAAGGAGGAAAAGCTAGAAGGACTTGACTTACCTTGCAAGCTCCGAGCTTCTCTCAGGACCTGCTGAAGCATTTCCTCCACCTCGCTCATTTTCCTCTCTAGCTCTGCATTTTCTACTTGTTCTCCGGTGAACTGCGCCTGCTGGATGAGGGCTTCGAGTCCCCGCAGCTGCTGGAGGTACTGATCAACCTGGAAGCAAGGCAGTTAATCTGCATCAGCCAGCGGCAGAAAGACACGAATAGAATGAAGCTGCACAACATGTCACAACATGGCAGCCCATTGGAGGTCGCTAGCCGTAGCGCAGCACCGATGATGTGTGAATGCCACCACCCACTGCCTCTTCCCATGTAGAAGAAGACCTGAACACGCAAAATAGGCTGCCTGGGGGGAGAGCAAGATTGACCGTCTTGGTGGGAGGGACTGCATTAAGTACCCTCGCTGTTCTGTGTCCTAAGCACAGAGCACTTCTGCATGGAGGGCAAGGGCTGGAGGGGTCTCGCATGGCGAATTGCCATCATGATGGATTCGGTAGGAAAGCAGCGAAGGAAGGCGCTAACCTGAGCTTTTACTTGACTATAGCAGGCCGGACATCGGTTGTGCTCGCAGCTTGGCCCTTCGAATCCCGGCTTGCAAATGCAGCTTCCATCACTGCGACACTGCAGAGGCTCCGAACCCACGGAATTGCAGTTGCAGGCTGCGTAGGATCAGAAAAAGCAGAATGCTCATGCGAAGAGTTTCCACACATCGTGTGTGCTGCCTAGCCCCGGGAGGAAAATGCAAGATCCCGCCAACCCAGAGAGACAGAAGCATATGCAGGATCCAAAGCTGCAAACAGCTGCCTTTCAGACCAGCCGGATGCGTTCGGGCTCCCACGCATATTTCAGCCTCTCAGTCATGTCTGTAGATGCATGTAAGCATCTTGTTGGAGGAGAGGGGAACACACAAGTGGGTCTCCAGCTGAAGCAAGCCAACTCTCTGGAGGCGGCTTTGTGTGTTGCAGGTCCGTAGGAGACCCAGGCGTTACAGGGATCTGGATGCGACTGAAGGAGGGATTGGTGTGAGTCATCCTGGGTTTGGAAATAAGGATCTATAAGGAGCTGCAGTTGTTTATTTATTACTGAATCTCTATATTGCCCAGTTGCTAGAGCCCTCTTGGAGGTCTGCAGCAAAGTTGTCTTTGGATTACTCCAATGCTTGATTCCTCCAAGTTTGTATAGCGTAAGTCAGACACATGTTTCTGCCAGTGAAGAATGCCTTGGAGTCCACATTCCTTTGCACAGAGCAATGTACCTCGGCATTTCTCTGCTGGGTCTGGGGACGAAGGGTCTCCGAAGAACCCAGCCTTGCACTGGCACTTCCCGGTCAACGGGTTGCACACCTCGGATGCATTGGGGTCATCGGTGCTGCACCGGCATGCCTGGCAGGGCTGCGTCAGGCCGCGCTCGCCCAAGGGGTCTCCAAAATAGCCATCCGCACACAATTCACAGCGAGGTCCTGGAAATAATAGAGAGGAAGCAGGGGGAGGCAGGTGAAGCCTGGAGCCTGCGGCAGCCCTCTGAGCATCCTGGCCAATTCTGGGGAGCCCGGGCACAGGGGTCTGCCAGCAGCTGCAATCCCACACTGTACCCTCTCCAGCCCACGTGGTACCACCAGCCCAGGAATTGTCCTCAAACCGTGCGGGGTCCTCGGGGGTGTTCCTTCAGCTGCTTACAGAGGGCGCATGTGTTCTGCAAGCATTTGGCGGAATAAGTAGTTGCATGAGCACATGGCCCTGGGAAAACTGAGGTGCTGGGAGGCAAGAGCAGTGCATGAAACAAAACCTGAGTGGTTTCTCCTTCCAAAGAAATGCAACTTCAGGGGGAAAGAATTGAAACTACAGAGGCCATTGGGAGGAGACCCTGAGCTGGCCGACGGCTTTCCAGCGGAGCTGCCCCTCTCTCAGCTGCTTTTCCTTCTATGGATTTCTGGACATGCCCTTGGAAGGACAGTACCTTCGCATTCCCTGTGCAGCCCCAGGAAACCATAGCCTTCTGGCCCCTCTGGCCGGCCCCCCAGCAACCCCCTCTGCTCATGTGAACACCAGACGTGGCAGCCCTCTTTCCCTTCATCCACGTGGCCTGCGCCAGCTTCAGCTCTCCCAGGGGACCGGGGGGCTTTAATGAAGTTCCTCAACTCCTGGGCTGGGTCCTTCAGCTTCCTAGCACGCCCACAGTGCAGCATCCTGCCAAATGCTGCTTCTAATTCCGCAAACAACCCCTTTGCTTTGGAGATCGAAGACTTGGTGGAACAGGGAAGGGATCTCTTGTAAGAGTCAGACTTTCTCATGCAAAACCACACACAGGGGGCAGAGCACCTTAGTTTTTCTTGTGACCTCCAGAAATACTGTTTTGAGAAGGTGATGGGCCAAGACTTATTTGGACGGTCAGGAGATGCATGGAATGGGCCTTGAACCAGATTTGTGGGCAGCTGTCCATACGGTGAGCTCCTGCATCACAGACGGTAGCATCCACCTAAGCCATGAGGTACCCTGGACGGATTCTGCCTAGCTAAACGGGCTATTGAACTGCCTGGGCAAGAGGGAAGATACGGGAGCTCTTTATTCCAGTTGGGTCTTTTCTGAGCGACACGGCCTTCCTGAGCGTTAACTCTGCTCCCGTCCTGACTTGCAGCTCAGGTGTGATCTCTGCCCTTCGGTTCTGACCTCTGGCTTGCTGCTCTGCCCTACTTCCTGGTGGTCCTTCACTTAATTGATCCTCGGTCCCATCTCCTGGCTGGGTCCCTTGAATCTGAAAGCCAGTCCCATTGCTGGATCTCCTTGGAGACCACTCCTACAGCTCAGCCCTGACACTGCCTATCTCTGATGGGACTCAGGAATTGTGGAATGTATGAAAGGCCTTTCTCTGTCTTCCCCACATCAGTCAAGTCCTGCCTGCATCCGTGCCAAGAAATGCTGGGTTCTGCTTCAGGATCTGGCCATTACCACTCGTTCCCAGGGGGCAGCTATCGCAAACCACTTCGTGTGTCCCGGGCAGCACCGTACAGCCGTAGCCGCTTTGGCAGGGACAAGGCCGGCAGCTCTGTGGGTCCCAGGGAAGGCTGTAGAAGCCGCTCGGGCAGGCAGTGCTTCTCAGCTCCCTGTTTTCATCTCCAGAGTAGCAATCTCCTGGACAGAAATGGGAAGAGGAAAGAAGGAGCGGGTGAGAGTGGATTTGGACAACATACCGCTCTCTGCTGGAAGGCAGCCTCAGTGAGACCTTGCGTTAGCCCCTTGGAAATCCCTGCTTAGGAAAGCAAGCATCTTTTTTTTCATTTGTGGGTGGAGAGTTTGAAAAAATGATGGCAAAAACATACATCTGGAAGAAGGAGGAAGAATTATTCAAGCACAGACTGGGGGTGTATGGGCAGGCGTCCACACACATGTGGGGTGCACTTTCCCAATTTTGGAAAACTGTATCTCAGCCCACCCAAATGTGGCATGTTGTCCCCCAAAAGCTTCCAACTATGGTTCCCCTCAAAATGTTTTTGAGGAACAGTGATTTCTTTTCAGAACAAATGCAATGAATTCACAGTGTTGTTTATCATGACTATGATCCGGCTCTGCAAAAGTGAGAAAGAAGTTATCCAGGGAAGAGCTGGAATGGAGGCAACAGGATGCAGTTCCGTAGGGGCAAAAGCCACGTTCTACACCGAGGAAAAGAGCACCAAAGCACAGCGGCGGCACGGGAGATGCTTGGCTCCATAACGCTACAGGTGAGAAGGACCTTGGGACTGTTGTGGATCGCAGGTTGTGACATGGCTGCAAGAAGGGCAAACAGTGTTCAGAGCCTGGAAGGCTCATCCGCACACCAAGCTGGCTGGCAACAGGAGGGATGCGCTCAGTCGCATACAAGCTACCATACAACGCATGCACTTAACGGTATAGTGTTTGCACTGAGCATAACTTTATATGAGCAGAAGGTACAGATTAAGGGCCTTGTATCAGACTCTTGGCTCGTGTTAGGTGGACTGTCAGATATCAGCCACTCATTGCCAGAAGCATTTTTCCTCCCTCCAGAAAAGTATGCAAGAAAAAAACCCATCAGGATCTATGCAATTTTCACAGGTGCATAACATTCTGCAGAATTTTCTTAGACCACCATCAAATCAGTTAGCAGAGAGTGCAAAACAAAGACAGCTACAGTGCAGAGGCTCAAGAGAGATCAGATGCGTGAAAACTGTTTTTTTATAAAAAATGGCACATAACTGTATTTTTATGCAAATTCTGCGGTTTTGTATCACCTAAGTTGCATACAGTTATGGAAAGCTTAAAAATTGGTCCACAAGTCCACAGAATCTGCATGATTTTGAAAGGCTGGTCCCCTGAAAACTCCTCAAGATGGATTAATCCAAATCTGGTGGCATTTGCAGATTTCTCACACTACCTTCCCAGTAGTACGGAGGAAGGTTCTCCCATCCTGACTTCTCCACCACATAGATCACATCCCTGGCTGGAACAGTGCCAATGGACTGTAGCTCAATCATATAAATATAGATATAATAATTTGATTTAACTTTACACTAGAGGCCAGACGGTTGCCCACACAAGTAAAAATAGAAACCGTCTGTCCACCATGACAGTCCCTGCATGATTTCCTTACCAGTGTCCGGATCACACGTTCCGCCACCCTGGCAGTTGCACGGGATGCAGTCGCCGAGAGCCCCCCGTCCAGCAGAATTCTCTCTCCGGTACCCGGGAGCACATCTCTGGCAGAACTGCCCCTGGTATCCGCTCGGGCATTCGCACTGCTCCACCCAGGGGGCCATGGGGCCAGCTCCGGGCTGTGCTGAGACCAGGATGACGTTGCTGAGGTACCCCGTGCCTGAGTGAACAGGTTACAAAGCAGGTTACAAGCAGTGCTCCTGAGACGGTGACACCACGAATTCCAGGCATTCCGGAATCCCAATTGGCATTGGTGTCTGACTCCGAAAAGAGCAGCCAGAGAAGAATCGGCCTGCCTCGCACGAGTTTGCTCATCAGTCCAGTTTTTGCATGGCCTGCCTTTTTTTAAAACTGCATGAAAATTTGTTTTTAAATCTGTGTTTAAATGCATACTCTGGAAAGTGTTTTCTTACAAAATGCACATGTCTAAATTTATCCTCTGGGGAAGTAACATTTCTAAACACATCTGATCCTCAAAAATGCATTTCAGTGCTTTTTGAGGTGACAGTGCCATTGTGAAGCTCAGAGAACTGCAGGTTCGCATGGTCCAGTTTTCAACTGGGGGCAGGTTGGCATGGTCCAGTTTTAAATATACTTCTGGACTATAAAACAGAATGGCCATTTTCAAATAATGGATCGTCAAAAGACATGTACATGACTCAGCCTTTAGTTCAGGTTGTTCTAGCATCTTACTCCCAACTCACTGTCTCCATAAGTGGCTCTGATCCGAAGAGCTGTCAGGTTATCAATTAATTGATGGAATTCTGTGCTCGTCAGCCTCGGACTCCAGTTGCTACTCGGGTGCTCATCCAACCTGTATGAAAGAGGTAATGAGAGAAATGGCCTCTCCCTGAAAGAAAATGTCTGCACACCCACGCTAATACGCAAGACGGATCTTCAAAAAGACACTTAGGAGTAAACAGTGAAAGCACGGAAGATGAAGCATGCCGCCATTGTGCTGAGGACCAACGGAAAAGGCCAGGATTGCTACAAAGACAGGGAAAACGAGAGCGCTTTGTGGTCAGAAGAGCAGAAATTGGAAAGGCCATGGAATGCCCCTTCCAGTGCATCAGACACAAGCACAAGCCGCCCTGAGCATTTTACCTGAATGTGTAGGTCTTGCGAGCTTGACAAGGCAGCACCTTTCCATTGGGCATGAGTGGGGAAGTGACTCTGAAGCCAGCGCCCTCCAGGACTACATCCTGCTGTGAAGGACGTCGTCCAGGTTTGTTCACACGGTAATTGAAGAACAGCATCTGCCCATAACTCAGTTGCTGCTTCCCAAGGAACCTGGCTACAAAGGGAACGAGCAATTATTATTATTATTATTATTATTATTATTATTATTATTATTATTTTAGAACATTTCTATGCCGCCCCTTGCCGAAGCCTTGGGGCGGCTTACAAACACAATAAAATACAATAAAATACAAAAATAACAATATAAAATTAAAATTAACAATATAAAATATAAAATAAATAAAAATATAAAATATAAAAGAAGTCGCCCTGGCCAGATAAATAAGCAAATATTGTTAACAATTAAAGTGACGTTTAAATAAAAAGGTCTTCACCTGGCGCCGAAATGCAGAGGTCAAAGGATAATGCAGAATAGTTGAACAGTTTAACTGCTCAGAGAGCCATCTTGGCTAATAAATTTGATAAATATATAGGATAAATACTGGCAAATAAAACTGTGCTACTGATTGGACCAGCCAAGGTATGCAGTAGGATGGAGAACTTCAAGATAAACCATCAATGCCAATGACCTAAATCCTAATGCTATTCAGTGGTCTCTCTGTGGTTAAGTGCTAACTTATTTACTGTACTTTAATCTCACTTTTCAGAGGAAAACTTGTCTTCAACACAGCCCATGTCAACCAGCATATCTTAAAAGCTTAATTGAATTTTAGTTTGACTTAAATATACCTAACTCAGCTCTAGTCCCTATTTTAAGAGTGCAGACCTGAAACTAGGGGAATATATGCTTACCTGGGGAAGGGAAACAGTTCATTGGTAGAACATGTACTTTGCACATCCATTCATCCATTTTATTTATTTATAGACCATCCATTTACTGGCCTCTTGGAAAGGTTTACAACAAGGTCTTTGGCATCTCTGGGTAAAGCTAAAAGACTCCTGTTTGTACCCCTAGACAGCTGCTGCCTGTCAGTAATCAGTATAAAACTCACCAAATCAGGTTCTATCAAGAAAGGTAAACATGCCATTAGACAAGTTTCTACCTGGATGCCTTCCAGATGCTTTGGACTACAACTCCCTGATCACTGTCCATGGTGCCTGGAACTGATGGAAGTTGTTCCAAAGCATCTAGAAAGCATCTGGTTGAGAAGGGCTGTATAAGATCTTCAAGAACTATGAGAGACTCCTTTTTCATCAGAATTACAGCATAACACGTGTTTATTTACCTTGATGCTCTTCACAAACTAGCCCTTGGACTAGTCCTTGGCTATCTTAGTATTAACAGGATCGTGCTGCATGGTTACTATTTTGAACAGCCCTCTTGGTTCTCTCACCGTTTCTTTTAACTGCATTAATTATTTTTAAGCTATTGGTAATCTCTTGACAGATGGTTAGAGTACCTAGAAGAAAAACCATGAGGAAAGTGGCTCTCCAGCCATGGATTCCTGGAAGAAGGGAAATAATGAATGGATCTATGGAAGAAGGTCATCCAAGAAACTTCTTCCTCCAAGAGCCAGGGTGGTGCAGTGGCTGAGAGCATGGAATTGGGACTCAGGCGACCCGGGTTCGAGTCCCCGCCCGGCCATGGAGCCACCTGGGTGACTCTGGGCCAGTCGCAGACTCTCAGCCCAACCTCCCTCACAGGGTTGCTGTTGTGGGGATAAGATGGAGGAGGAGATGTAAGCTGCCTTGAGCCCTTTGTAGGAAAAAGGCAGGATATAAATCGAAGCATAAATAAACAAATAAGAAACTGCGCAGAAACGCTCTGGGAAACACCAGCTGCTGCTCTCTGTACTGCGTACATTTAAGAACCTATAATAATATTGTTAAGCAACAAATACTGCAGGTATGTGCATGATCTTCTTGGCTTCTGCTCTCCACTATGAGATGCAGACATACACACCTGGAGCCACGAAATAAATGGGATCCTTCTGTCTTGTTGCCACGTAAATTTCCTTGTGATGTGGAGACCACTGGAGCTGCAAAGGGGACCCGTTTCCTTGAGCTTGCCAGCCCTCATCACCTGGAATAGTATTTATTATTTTTATTTATTATTTGTTTGGGCAACTTGTATGCCGCCCCATTCGCCTAGGCCTCGGGGCAGCTTCCAATACATAAATAAATATATTTCTATACAAAATACATAAAATACTGGAGACATCCTGGCAACAAATTTAAAATCAATAAATAAGATCAACAGTTAAAATAACGTTTCAATAAAAAGGTCTCTCTCGCCTGCTGTTCTCTTCCCACGTGGTCCACAGATGTCCGTGGAAAGGCCACGGAGGAGATGAGTGCCTGGGCAGCCTCTCACTCAGGCTCCCCAGGCAACCGCTATTGAATTGCATCCTGCCTTGGATATCGGAGAAAATATATAGCTACACGTCTATCCTGTATCACTCCACCTGCTAGGACTGCCAGCCCCTGGAAGGGGAAGTGAGGTCAGTGGGACTTCAAGAGTGTTGATTATGGGAAAAGGCAAAGGCAGAGCACTGGGAAGTCTTACCTTGTTGGAAGGTCGAGGAGATTTTATGGATACTATAATTTTCAGCACTGGAGCATGTACTGGAGTGCCCATAACAGAAGCACCGAGAGCAGCCCTCGGGGTTTCCTGCATCGAGGTTATAATAGCCCTGCTTGCAGCTGTGTGAGAAAGAAAAGCAACACATTGAGCAATAGTTCTCTTCCACATCTGGATCTGCATGGAAACATGGCAGAGCCCTGAGCCTCTTGTATTGCAACAGAAAAACCCAGCTCTGAAACTTCTCCAACCAGCCAAATCTTGTGAAGGGCTAGAAACTTGCGAAGCCTACTACCCGTGCGTGTCAAATACACACATTTGAAACACCATGTAAAGCAGCCATGTATGCACAGAGGTGCTCTGTCAACAGATCTGACAAGGAGACTAAATCGAGAATCCACATCCAGATGCGGCATCCTGAAGCAGAAGTTATGTGATCTGCTCTCCTAAGGCAATTCTTGTGTGTGGCTTTCAGTGAAGGAAAGCAAAAGAAGACACTTCAGAGCCTCACGCAACTTCGGTTGCAGGGTGGAGACACGAAGCTCCCTGGCCTTTAGGTCACCTGCCATCAGCCTGTGCTCTTCCAGCAGAATGCCAGAGTTGGATAGACTCAGACAACCTGGCTCACAGGTGAAAGCCTTTTGCCTGGGATATGAGTGGCTGGAGCGTGAGGACCAGGGCGAGGGAGGAGGGTGGAGGTCTTGATGTGATGCCGCAGGGCCAGAGGCAAAGGCAGGGGCAAGCAAGGCTGAGAAACCATCAAGGAATAGCAGGCCCAGGAGCTGGCAAGGCTCAGAGACCAGTAAGGTGCGGTAGAACCAGAAGCAAAGTCAAGGCCTGGAACTGGCAACGGCCACCTGGATCAGGTGCCCAGCCAGGCGGGTCAGACCGAAGGCAAGGCAGCAGGCAGGAGCTGTGGGGCAGGGCCAGATGGGAGACAGGTTCGGAAGCCCCACCAAGCCCACATCACTCTGAACTGCCCTATAAGATTGCACAGGCCTCACTCCTCACAGGGACTCCAGGTCTGCTCATGCTCCTGCAGGGTGAACCATGATGTTCTTCCCCATCACGGCGCCCGGAGGAGCTGTGAGGAGGCTTCGCATCTGGAGACCTTGAATGCAGAGTGGGAAACCTCCCAGGGAGCCCCCCACCCCACCTGTCCCAGGGAAGAGCACAGCGTCTCGCCTCAAAGGCTCAGATTGTGCCCAAGATTCCAAAGAGGTCTGGACTGGATCTTGCTGTGCCGTTTCACCTGTTCTGACAGGACGCTGCCCTGGCAGGTCCAGAATAAGCAAGAGCTCTCCTGTCTCCAGAAGGAAGGCAGCGTTGGGTCTGTCTCCGACAGGCTGTGCAGCCCGGGGGCATGCTCTGTGAGTGACACAAACGCTTGGCAGGCAGTTGCTCTTGGCCTCTTCCGCAGAATTCAGTCCACTTTGTGAGGGCTGCCTAGACAGGTTATAGAAGCAGCTGCAGAATTCTAAGGGAAGGTTGGGCAAGGGCTGATCAAAGGAAGCTCAGATGCAGGACTTCCTGTCCTGGGGCTGTTGGCCTGGCAGGATTCCTCATACGGCAACAGACCTGTGCGTGCCACCTCGAGAGCAGCCGCAGCAAGCGGGAACTGCAGTTGGCTCGACTCGCCTTGCACCAAGAGGTCACAGCACGGGGCACGTCTACCCTGTGGCCCTGCCTGTTATGCCGCTTAGTTGGGATCAGCTCTGCAGGTCTGGAAATGTGCACTTCACCGGCGCGTGCCTATGCACACAAACCCACTTCTCCCATTCACACATTACCTAATTAGGCGTACAGCTAAATAAGCCATTCCAAGCAGGTAGCATGCCCTGTGCTCCCTTGGAAAAATGGTGGGATATCAGGGTAGTGAAATAAAAAATGCAGAAATCTGAATTACCCCATGAAACTGCTTGGTGGGAGATTCATGTCCTATGGAAGGAAGGACCTCTCCACACAATGCGTAGCTGAACTAGGGAATTCGCTTCCTCGAGATGTTGAGATGGACACCAGTCTGAATGGCTTGGAGAGGAGACTGGACAAGTTGGGGAGCAGAAGGCTATCCTTGCCTTCCAGTCCAGACGGCGAAATGCTACCTCTAGTTCTTAGGACAGTGTGCCTGCGTATGCCAGTTGCTGGGGAACAGGGGTGCTGTTGTACTCATGCCCCAGTTGTGGGTTTCCATGGCTGACCACAGAACAATGGGCCAGATGGACACTTGCCCTGATCCAGACTGGCTCTTCGCAGGCTTCATATGATCAGCTGCATGATTTCTCCACTCTCCAAGAAGAATAAAAGGCCAGTGGAAGGCCATGGAGGACAAAAGCTTTGTTGTTAACAGTAGCAAATTCACAGTGTCGGGTCTTGTCTCCTAACCAGAGCTGAGGGACACTAGATTTCACCAGAAAGCTCTTCATTCATATAAAGAATAATCCCAAATTGCACACCAAGAAGATACTACATAGAAACAGAGCGAATCAGAAGGGGTCTCCCGGGGCATCTAGTCTGACCCCCGGCTCCAGCCGGCTCCGCTCACGTCATGCCCACCATGTGCATGTCCAGAAGGGAAGGGGGATGAGAAAAGATTGTAGTAGAATTGGAAGGGGCCTAACAAGGCCATCGAGCCCAACCCTCTGCTTCCCATCTCACTGTGGCCCCATGCCTTTCCAGCACAGGTGATTCCACATGCCAGCTTGATATGGCACAGAAAAGCAGGAACGGGGTGGCCACTGAGGCAGGATCAGCAGTAGGGGCGGTAGCAATGAAGGCAAGGCATAACGTTGTGCAGGGACTAAAAATCTGGGCATTCCTCTCTGCCCAGTCAGACCGTCAGGTAAAAAAGACAGATAATCTTTTTTTCTGTGGGTTTCTGCGCTAAACGAAAGAAACATCTAAGCCACTGGGCGGATTCCTTGATGATGGCATCTCTGAGCAAAAGAAAAACGAAGCCATGCAAAGGTTGCAAACATACCTGTCGCATCGATCTCCTGCAGCGGCTGCCTTGCAGACACAGCGCCTGGAAACGCACTGACCGGTGCTTCCTGCAGGATTGCAATCACACCTGGAGAGCCTGAGAAAAATCAAAAGCACACACACACATTTTCAAACTGGGAAATAATGAATCACATGAGTATCGGCAAGCAAAAGCCTCTGAGGAAAGAGAGGCTTCTGCTATTGATGGGAGAGAAGATTGGGAGAACTTCCTTTTAGCCCAGAAGGGACTTGGGTTCTGGGAGGAAAAATAAAAAGGTGAGGACTTGTGTTCCAAAGAGTACGAAAGTATTATTATATATTTGTTATGTTTCTGTACCACCCCATTTGCTTTCTGGATGGTTTTCCAGACGAACTTAAACTGTGAAGCTTTCTGGATGGCGAGAACCGTAGAGACAAATTATAAACCACAAATTGCAGCAACACAGTTTAAAACGTTTTACACAGAATAAAACCCAAGTAATAGGTGAGATACAAAGATGCATTTATTCTTTAAAACTGAACAGCAGAAAGCCTGAAAAAATAAGCCGGTTTTAACCTGGAGCTGCAAAGACCTCCGGTTCCAGGTGAACCTTTCTGTAGAGGCCCTTTCAAAACCTGGGTGCCACCACTGAGAAGACTCTTGCTTGTAGACACCTGCTTCACCTCATTCAGCTTGAGCACCCAGAAGTTTTAGGGCCATTCCTAGGAATGGACAGGTCGGCTCACTTGTGGTGCATGCAGTTCGCTTCCTCATAAACCTGCCTGTCCCAGTTCTGCATTGAAATGCCATGTTTGAAACCCATATTTAATTTAATAATTTGATTTTGTTTTAATTTATTGTGTATTTTATTATGTTGTGAGCCGCCCCGAGGCTACGGCAAGGGGCGGCATAGAAATGTTTTAATAAATAAATAAATAAAATTTGATTCAAAATATGTCTTTTAAATTTAAATTTTAAATGCACATTTAAAATATGCAAAAACACTTATTTTAAATGTAGTTTACCCCAAAACGTGCGTCTTAGAAGTTTTCTTTTTGCAAATGTGTTTTAATAATGCAAGTGATGCGCTTGGAAATGTGTTTTGTGTCAAGGTCTATCCTGCAGCCATAAGGGGGTGCGATGGACACCCTCTGGAGGCTTTGTTCCAGAGCATGCATTATGCGTTATGCCAGATCAGACCCGCACATACTGGACTTTGTGCAGATGGGAGTCTTCAAACATCGTTACTCATCTCACACAATCAGCAGACCACACACTCAGACTGTCCGCAGAACGTGCCACTTTAAATGCACTGGGCAAAGGTGGCATGAGTGAGTCACCCCTTCTTCACCCTTTGTAGGAAAAAGGCAGGATATAAATCGAAATTAAAGCGATCTCTGTACTGTGCACAAAGAAACGGCATGTCAGGAAAAGTTGTTCTTCCGACACTCGATTTTCCACTTACAGGGAGGGTGAGTTTGTCTGCTTGTTTTTACAATGGGGAGCGGAACCTGTGAACGTGCAGTCCTGTTGGCAGTGGAATTCCCCACAAGTGCCTGCTCCACACCTGAAAACTGATTATATATATCCCTATGTTTCCCCCAAATAAAATATAAAATGTCTCTCTGCATACAGGTATGTGAGTCCTATTTTATTGTGTCGTCTGCCTTTTGCACAGATTTCTGGTGCCTCCAACATCCAGATCCTTCCTCTTAGGCTGTCGGGATGCCCACAAGGGGGAGGGTCTCTTTGTGGGGCCCTCTCCGTGTATGGAATGACCTCCCTGCCATGGACCACCTGGTGCTGAACTTGCCATCCTTTGGCGGCAGGTTAAGGTGGCCTTTCAAAGGCAGGCTGGGCTCTCCTTTGAGGGTGAACCATCCCAGGCGCTTTTCTTGCACAGCACCATTCCTCGCGGTCTGTTTTTCGCTGTTTGATTCCATTGCTTTTTCAGCTGTCCCATTGCCTACCTTTTCATAAGAGTTTATGTTAGGGGGGACTGCAGGTGGCGCAGGGGTTTAAACCACTGGGCTGCTGGGCTGGTAGATCGAAAGGTCGCTGGTTCGAATCCGCACAACGGGGTGAGTTCCCGTTGCTCCTTCCCAGCTCCTGCCAACCTTGCAGTTCGAAAGCATGCAAATGCAAGGAGATAAACAGGTACCACTTCGGTGGGCAGGTAACGGCGTTCCTGCACCTCGGTGTTTAGTCATGCCGGCCACATGACCACGGAGACCGTCTGTGGACAAGCGCTGGCTCCCTCGGCCAGGAAACGGAGATGAGCACCGCCCCCTAGAGTCAGGCATGGCTGGACTTAATGTCAAGGGGAAACCTTTACCTTTACCTTCACCGCGTGTTATTGTATTGTTCTGTGTCCAGTGGGGAACCTCCCGGAGAGCTTCAGCTACTGGGCAGGGCAGAAAGGAAGGCCATGCTGAAAATGTCCCCAGTTAGGTTTGAGAAAGACGCTCCGCTTTGCAAACGGCTCCAACAGCCTGCTGGGACTTACTGGGTGTGCGCCACTGCACTGCAGCCGGCCTCTGAGAAAGACTGGAAACCGTCTTGGCACCGCTCACATTTATCGCCTGTGACGCCGCGCTTGCAGCGGCATCGTCCATGCACGTCACACTGGACACCGGCAGAACCTGCAGAGGGAAGAGGAGGCTGACTTCGCCATAATACCAGCCATGTTGCCTGTTACGCAAGCATCTCTCCCTTTAGTTTGCTTGGTGGCCTGAGCACAAATGAGCAGTGTGCTTTTTTGTCCCGAAAGTGATCCTGGAGTCTCACGCCCTTGGACTGGACAGCCCAGAGCTGGTGCCCAGTTTTGTGGAGCAGGGTCAGAGGGAGCGGAGAACATCCGACGCTGGGGAAGACTTGGAGGTTCAGGAAGTCGGCAGTTGCCCAAGCAGGCAGCTTGCTTGATTCCCTGCGCTCAGCACAGCACGGAGGCTCAACTTACACGTTTGCAAGCACGCGCATTATTACAAAAGCACCCTAAGGGCCAAAGGAGACGGATCTAAACCTGGCATGGTGTCAGCTGAAAAAAAATCAAGAGCAGTTATAGGTGGGTGTGTACGTGTGTACCTGTGCGGGGTTTCACTGGCACAGCAACCAAGGGGGTGGGGGTGGTCGGCCCCTTTCTCCCCTGCTGCAAATACACACCTTAGCCCAGGAAGGAAGTCTTCATTTATGTTTGGACTGAAGCAGGGAGGAAAGGGTTAAAGCCACCCCCCCCCACACACACACACACACACTCTGCAATCCTGATGAAAAGCAGGCCCTTTTTTCCTTTTCCTTTTGGCATTCATTCAAACGGATGCAATGGCAAGTGACATGCTTAGCGTCAAGTCTAGCTGGCCCTGAGTCTCCATCGCTCTCTTCCAGAAACACGGAGACGCTGGCAAAGCTACTCTGAACTTCATGCCATTCAAAGAAAGGGGAAGGCAAAACAGCAAACTTCCAATTGGGCAAACAAAGTCTTCATGCATGAAGTTTGTTTGGAAGAGCCAAGCACCACACGTGTTGCTCTCACAGTCCTGCCTCCAATCCCCATCCGCTTTGTGTTGTCTGAATGCCACTGGCAGTGAGATTGGATCTACGTTCTTCTAATTTTCAGAAGCTTATATCATACATATCAACCAGCAGAACTTAAAAACAGAAAGGGATACTAACCAAGTATGACAGCATGTTATATTTTCCTCTCACAGCCATCTTAAAAACACCACAATAAATTCTCCAAAAAGTCTACTTCTTTCTGATTAAGATCCTTTGAGGGAATAAATTGCACTACTTTTCACAGAATCATAGAATAATATAGTTGGGGAGGAATCACCTGTACACAGTCTTACAGGCGACAGCCAAATGCTTTGTATTTCTATTTAAACTGTTGAAATTATTTATAAATGTCCACCTTTACCTATAAATCAGCACATGCAAACCTCTCCCCTCTCTTGTCCTCTGAGTACAAGTGGGCAGTCTATTTACAGGTTGTTGTGGGTCCATGACACCTGATGGAACACCTCTCCCAACCTCTGTCTACCTGGACACTACGATCATTAAGGAATGAGCCCCCCGCTGGGACCCACCTGCCACCCAATTTGCTGTTAACGCCCATTGCCTGCTGCAGGGCATAAATCAGTTACAGGGACCTGCTGGTTGTTTGACAGGGTTTAACAGGGTCTTTTTAATGTCTAATTTTTGTTTTTCTGCTTTTTATTTGGTTTTTAATTTTATATTGTTAACTTTTATGCATATACATGTCTGTAAAACTTTTTATGATTACAAAATTTTATGTTTTGATTGGTATATTTTACAGTGTTTTTAAAATATGTTGCTGACCTAGATGGCTTGGTTGTTGGGCAGTATAGAAATGTATACAAGCCCCTCCTCAAAGACATGGAAAAACTTTCAGCATGTCACTGGCAACCAGCCAGCCAGCCAGCCATCCCAGAGAGAACAATCCTAACCTACGCAGTTGTTATATGGACAATGATGCCAACATATGTAAGATGACTTGGAAGGTCCCTTACATTCCAGGCGAAATTATACATGGTCAGATTGCTGGTTTTGTGACTAGGGGTGATGAATAAACATGATTCATGAGGAGGAAGTCTAATACTAGGAAACGTGGTCTGAAATAAAGTGAGTAATTGCTGGCTGTTTTCTACTTTCTTTACAATGAGAGAAAGGAATGCTCACCTGTCCCATTATTGTGCCCTTAATTGGGAGTGAGCACCGCTGCAAACAGTGGAATTCACTTTGGAGCAAAGGAGTGTAAGATTGCATTGTGATTCCCAGTGGTGTGCCAGGAAACACGGCTGCAGAGCACAGTTAAACCACCCTTGAGCCCATCGTTCGGTGCTCTGGGCCTTGTCCCTTCCTCCCTCAAAGGGTGGGCCATTCTATGGTCCTCGTTCCATCCACCTGAGGACTCTGACTATGCCGACTTCATGACTTCAAGCAGGTCTCCCCCCTTCACCCTCCACCTCCTCCTCTTTATAACATCTCGTCTGGTACAGGGAACTGGGCCTCTCAAAAGCTCAGCCGTAATAACCTGGAAGGGAAAGGCAGTGTGCGTGCTGCCCTTAGAAAGCCTCTGGGGGGACACAGGATGTATGGATGCCCAGAGGCAAGGTGAGAATCTGCACGCCAACTTTGGGGCCAGGAATCAGAGCTCCAGCCCCTCCCCTGCGCTCTGCAGTGGGCATGGAAAGAACCCCGCTGCCTGGACCCCGAGGTTGGATGTGAGACCTCGGAGAGGGGCAAAGGGGGACTTTTGGAGGGGCAGGGAAGGGAAGAGCCTGGGTGCACCAAGATAGGAGAAACCCCGATGTCTCTCCGGCTCCCTTCTCTCGCCCTGCAAGATGTTCCAGCTGGACGGGTGGAAAAGTCTAGTCAAAATGTAGGTGCTGCTTCTCCTCCACTGCTTTGGATGGCCTGTAAGACTCCAAATTAGGGGCCTTTGGGGACAGCAGAAGCATTGTGCCCTACACCAATGTTACTCTTTGAAAGCAGCAATCACCCAAGGTCCCATGTTCCCTCTGTTCTCCCTTGTTGGAAATACCAAGGCACTCCAAAAATTTAGATCACCAAAGAGGTACCAGATATCAAGATGTTGTGTAGATCCTTAAATAATTACATGAATGGGGCAGAACTCAAAGATATCTTCAGAAACTGCATCCCAACAGAGCATTTCGTTCTTTTGGAAAAAGAGAAGAAGCTGACTTTCTTGGAGCTGTTTGAAGCAGCTGGATTTGCATCTGTCTGATTTGCAGCTTTATCTCTTGCCGTCTGCCCTGTCATGGACCTCCTCATTACCCGCTGCTTCTGTCGACAAGGCTCCATGTGAGGCCCCAAACTTTCCACCCAGTCAAAGCAAATTTTTTTAATCTCGTCCAGAGGACTGGACACAGAATTCATTTGGATGCCGAAAAACAGACATCAGGTTTGGAGGTCCCACTCTGCAAATTTTCTTCTAATGTGCTATTTTATTTTAGAAAGCTGGGCTGAGCATCGCAAATTGATTTTGACATTCTCTGATGTGTTGCCTCAAACGGGGGTGAAACCAACAGTCCAGCTATTCTGGCTTCACACAGAAAAGGCCAGAACCTGCAAGGGGATCTCTGTTTTTATATTTTGCTTTGGCCCATTCAAGGGATCCTGCTGAAGCTGCTTTGTTTAGAGAGTTCCACATTTCTGGAGGAATTGCTTTAGTCCCTGTATCTTTTTAGCGCTTCACCCATTTGTGTAAACATATCAAAGAGTTTTCTTTGGCAGCTTTCTGAGTAGCAAGACAAATAGCACAGACCGCATGGTCTCAGCTTCCAAAGATGAGCCATTGTTCCATGCAACTTTCTTCTGGTTCCAGTACTGTTCTACTGCCTATGATAATACATAGCAATTCATCTGACCCCGAGGAAGTTTGTGAGCCTGCTATGAACAATGCAGGCGTGTGCTGCCCAAACTTGCATAGAATTGCTCCTTAATCTGCTTTGTATCAGCACAGCAGGGAAGATGAGGTGTTCACTATCTTAACTCCTGGCTTTAAATCATACCTTCTGGGAAGCTGTGAGCTGAAGAAAAAATGCAGGAGGAAGCTGCAACAGGAATAAACAAATGCGTGTTCTTGATGTTGTCAATGCCTGCTTTCGTTAGAGGTCTATTCAGCTCCAACAGCAGATGCGTACATGGTTTTTCCAAGTGTACAACTGGAAAGAGAATCTAACTGCTGCATTGCAGTCTTGAGGTGACCTTCGTGTTGCCGAAGGTAATAATTAAGGGAATTAAAGTGTGGCTAATCAGAGGCAGGGAGGTCATCTCACTATTGTCTCCAGTCAACTGGATTTTGAAGCATTAAAAGAATTATTTCAAACAGAGCTGTTAGCAAGGCAGAAAATATGAGTGGTTCGTGTGTGGACCAAGTAGAATAGTGCAATCTTCAAAGCTCTGGGATGAGGCAAAACCCCTATAAAAAGTCTTCCAACTGAGCCTATTACAAGTTTAGGTCTTTTCCTTGCATCACACAGTAACAAGCTTGTCTTTGCAAGCAAGTCTGCTTTGCAAAGAAACCTGCGGCCAGTCCTGGCTACCTGTATGGTACTTGTCCCCTACAAACACTATAAAAAGATAACGCCCCTGCATACCTGTGGGGTCACACCTGCAGGGCATGCAACGCTCTCGAGGATGCCGGCGAAAGAAGCCTTCCTTGCACCTCTCACAGTTCGCTCCCTCCGTGTGGTCAGCACAGTTGAGGCACCGGTATCCGTTCCCTGTTTCTCTGAGCAACTGCAGGTCCCACATGCACTGGCTGGATTTCCCATTGCAATCACAAACTGCAAGGCAAAACAAGGAAAAGACATAGAGACAGAGAAACAGAGCGAGTCAGAAGGGGCCTCCCGGGCCATCTAGTCTGACCTCCGGCACCAGCTGGCTCTGCTCGCGACATGCCCGCCATGTGCACGTCTATGAATACCCCCTGGTGAATGAAAGGGACCCATGGGACAGTTTCAGGAACTGGCATGGGATGGTCCACATTTAAAGACTATCCAGATCGCATGTCCAGAGCCCAAGCCACACAGAAGTGGAATCTGGTCATCCGCAGCTGTAGCTGGACTTCCTGATGCCGGTTTCCTGTGCCGGTTTCCCAAGTATGCGAGTTCTCCATAGTCCATGTTTTCATGTGCAGTTCCCTGCCTGCAATCTGAAGTGGAGTGCAGCAAAAGCTACACACAAGATTTCCCCTGATTCGGTGCCCTCGCTTTGTTAGGAACCACATACCCATTTCTCTCTCCCCCATTCAGTTTCAACAGCAGCAAGTCGACACGGACTCTTCTGCCTCTAGGAATGGGAGATAACTTAAATGGAGGAGGACAGAGAAAGAGAAAAACACCAGGGAGCAAAAGCACGGTTTGGGGAAGCTATCATCGGCCTCACTAGCAAAATGGCTTGTTGTAATAGCAAAGAGACTAGTCCCTCTTGTGCTACCCTTTTCAAGATGCCCCAAAGACACACTGGTGTTTTAGTGCAGGAGCAGAAATCTAAAGGATTGAGCAAAAGGTGTGAAAGAATTTCCTCAGTTATTGAAAATATCCTCATAAATATGAGCAGGCCTAAAAGAAATTATTTCAAGACGTTAAGTCCAACTTCTTGCAATGAGCAAGGTTTGTGAAATCATTGAGTCGTAGAGAGTACTGTCAGGTCATTTTAATGTATTTATTTATTAGATTTATACTCCTCTTCCTTCCTTCCTTCCTTCCTTCCTTCCTTCCTTCCTTCCTTCCATACTCAAAGCAGCTTACATCATTCTCCCGCTTCTTCTCTCAATTTTATCTTCATCACAACAACCCTGTGAGGTAGGTTGGACTGAGTATCCATTATTTCTTTACTGCCTAACAGTTGAAGCTTTCTGAATGGTTTATGGCAGCACATCAAATACAATAAAAATAGAAAATACATTACAGATGATAAAAACATGCTAAAAATCACAACATTTAAAATTTTGTCAGATTTAAAACTGACTTTAAAAGGCTACAGCAGCTTTCACAAATTGAATCACACGCTATCAAGTAGTTCTCGTAATGTCCCAATGGAATATCGAAGCTAATTAAACGCTTCCATAGAGGACAATCTTAACAGGAAAGGGCGATAGGGCAGGTGCCGGGTGGGTCTCAGTGGGGAGCTTGCTCTCTGACAGGGGGCCGCCACTGAGAGGACCCCGTTCTTGTCACTACCAGCCCAGCCTGCCTCAGTGGCGACAGCCAGCAGCAGGGCCACAGTCTTGAGCATAATGTCCAAGCAGCAGCAAACTGACAGTTCCCAGAGCCTGGCAGAACTTCCACCAAAAAGTTCCGCAGATGCAAGAAAATTTGCCTCCCCCAGGAAGACTCCATGATGGGCAGTATGGAGATCTCACCCTATTTTTTTAAGTACATCAATAACCTCCTAGACTACCTTTACCCCCCAAAGGGGGTTCCAGAGAGGGGTCCATATGCTGAATCCACAGACCAGGTCACACGCCCTGCACATTGCCGGCCCCCTGTGTCACTGGTGTGGTTTGCTTTAGCCTTTCACCCTTTTTCTTGCAGAACGAGTGTGTGTGGCCAGGTGTGCAAGGGTGTGCGTGCTGATAGGGCCCAATGCAGCAGACAGGTGCGTCCAGAGGAAAGGCGCGGACTCTCTGCCACTGTGTGATTCACACCGGGGAGAAGCACACGTCCTGCAGGGCCACCCCTCAGCCTCCCTCACCCCCCAGCCCGCATATCCCCACCCGCACGGAGGCGCTTTCACGATTACGTGTTCGTCTTGGAAGCCCGGCGAGCGCTCCGCAGCTGCTGCAGCTAATCCTCGAGCCGGCTGCCAGCACATACGGTCAAGCTCAGGCATGCTGCTCGCATTCCAGGCACCTGAGAGGTTCTCCGACTTGGACGCATCCTGAGTGTGCCAAGGCTGCCAAGCCAAGCAAGCTGCGCTCACGCCCCTCACTCAGCGCCGCCTGGAATTTTATCAGCCTGCCTAGGGCCACAGCGCAGCTCACATGCCTCTCAGCAGCCCTGCTCTCTCCCCCCTGCTAGCGCCTTCCTACTCTGAAGTGAGCTGCAGCTGGAAGCTTTCTGAAACAGGCAGGACGATTTCCCAGGAGCTGCCCAGCCAAAAGGAGAAGAGCCCCCGCCGTGCCTCCTGTTCTTGCTCATGGCACGGCAGTCCCCGTCTTCCCTTCTCACACCCTCTACCTCAGGGGTCTCAAACTCGCAGCCCATGGGCCAATCGCGGCCCATGGGACGATATTTTGTGGCCCCCACTTGATATCAAAGTTCAGTGATAGTGTGGCCCGCGCGTTTTTCTCACACGCACCTGTGTGAGTCGTTACCCAGATGGAGCTAATTGACCTGCAGTGCAATTCTGAACTCAAAGCCAAGTTCAGGGAGGTGAGTGGAAAAGCAGATGAGCTTGGACAATTTTTGAGAGAGTTGCCCCTTCCCTTCCCTGAGCTTTCCAGGATGTTCAAGTGGACCATGTGCCTTTTGGGAACACCTATCTGTGTGAAAAGCTCTTCTCCACCATGAACTTTAATAAGTCAAAGTTCAGGTCCAAACTTCCTGATGAGCATCTTCAGGCCATACTGAGGGTCTCAGTTGCTTCCTTCCTCAAGCCGAATGTGGCTCAGCTGTGTAAGAGGAAGCGCTGTCAGATCTCTGGCAGCAAGGAGTAGGAAGAAGTAAGAGAAGCCTATGTTCTGAAGAACCGTTCATGTCCTGAATTATTATTAGTAAAGATTGAGAGGATTGGATCAGTTGTACTTTTTTTGGAATACTTGAATCCTTTTTTTGCGGCATACTTGATGCGGCACAGCCTCACCCAGACTCTACTTCCAGCGGCCCCCAGGTAAGTTTTGTTTGAGACCCCTGCTCTGCCTCATGCCTCTGAGGATTGTGGCCACCAAGACGGGATGGCTCGCAACAGAGGGAGGTGGCAAGCAGGAAGGGGAGAGGGAAGCCAAGAGTGGCTGGAGAGATGCGGCTTTGCCAGCAGGTGTTCTGACTTCTGGTGAATGTGAAGGTGTTTGTCAGTGAGAGCTGGTGAGGGAGGGAGCTGAATGGGCAGCCCAGGTGGCTGGGGACGCGGAATGGAATCGACTCGGGCATTGACGAGGGAGCTGTGCCAGGCTGCATGGCCGAGAATCGGTCTTGGACAGTTGTGCAACAGCCAAACTCCCCGGGGCGGGGGGGGGGGGGGCCTGCAGATGCATTTCTGCATCCAGAGGGCCTCCGAAAACTACTTTCTGCAGGGGGTGGGGGTGGGAGGGAGTTTCACTTCAAAGCCCACCATCCCAATGGGCCGATGGCAGAAAAGGGGCTGACGCAGGGACCAAAGCAACAGAAATCCTGTGGCAAAGTTCGTTGGGATGCGTGCGGGAGGCTGGAGGGCAACCGTGGGAGAGGAAGCCAGACATGGCAAGCACGACTGGCTGTTGGAAGCACTGCGGGTTGTTCAGCAACCAACCAACCCACGGTGGCTTGTTCAGGGTGGCCTAAGGGAACATGTGAATCCACCCATCAAAAGAATCATTGCAGATGTGGAAGGGGAAATGTCCCGGAGGAACGTTTGAATGAGTTCCTTTATCTGTAACAGGTGTCCTTGGTCCGGGTGGCTGCAGGGGGACTATATTGTGAAGAATTATTGTAATCACACGTTTAATTTTATGTGTTCTTATTTTAAATGCAGTGTTATTTTGGTCGCATGTTAGATTGAAAATTAATTTAAAAAAAATAAAGAAAGTGACAAGAGTGCGATTCTGCTCACCCCTGCCCAAAAAAAAAAAAATTACTAGAAGATCTTGCTGAGGAGAAAGCAAAGTGAAAAACAGAGTGCTTTGCATAGCAATGCCTCTCAGCTGGATGCTGCCACATTTTTCACAGCCCCTCCAAAATGCTGCCTGGAAGCACATCTCTGGGAAAGAAAGCAGGGGAAGTGGCTCACGAGGCTTGCGATGGTGCCGGGGGCACCAGTCCAATGAAGGACGCTCCACCGTGCCGTGTGAAGCTTCAGGGAAGCAGCTGGACCCGGCAGTGGCCTGGGCTTGCTCCGCAGGAGCTCCCGGGTGGCTCTCTTGCCAGCCCTCTGTACCAACGATGGAATCGCCTGCCCAGGTTCAGGGGATGCAACAAACCACCGTGGATCCAGAAACCACAGGAAGAAACCATGGTTGTCGGGAAGGCTTGCGGCCCATCAACAAGCCACTCTGTGGGACCTGGTCTGGGCTCCAACGCCAGTCACGCAGGGCGGCTTGACATCTCCTGCAACCCCCGTGATTTGTACTTATCACGGCAAGGGCTGAGCTTCCAGTCATACTTACATGAGCCAAACAACGGCTTGCAGGAGCTGGTGCATTTTCATTTTGCATCCTTCCGCCACTAGGGTTTGTACATTCATTCCTGCCTTTATGGTACCGCGTCTTCTCGAGGTTGGGTGATGCCCAAACTATGGCTGGTCAGTGCAGACACCACATCAAGCCATAATGAAATCAAGCAATGGTTTACAAACCAATTCAAAGCAAAGCTTCTGGAACTGGTTTGCTGGTGCGATCGTAAAGCATAGTTTGTGAATCCAACCACCGTGTCAGACTTCTTTAATTAAAACTTGTGAGATATGTCAATTAAGCCATTATAAGGTATCCGTTATTGTTTTAAGATAGATCCTCTGTCTTATTTCTTGTACTTTGCACCCCACCTTTCTACTGAAAAACCTCGGTCAAGGCAGTGTAGAGAAACGATTGATATTCTTTGAACAATAAAACAATACCACAAAAAGCAAGGAAGTAAAGCTGTGCCCAACC